AAGGGTGGTAAGGTGGTAAAATAATGTTCTAGAAACATAATGCAATAGTGTATAAGAAGGAAATAAAGATATTACTAGGGAAGATGTAAATTAGTAGACTTTATGTTGTAGACGAATCAAAAGGAAAAATACAGACTAGAGCATTACTAGTAGAGAGAAACAAGCTGGTAGTAGTACAGAAAATTGGGCCATCTAAATATAGAAAACATGAAAAAGTTGTCCAAGAAAATATTGGGAATAAAAGTAACGAAAAGAATACAAAACACAAGAATTGGAGAATGCAGAATACTTTTTCTAAAAGGCAGCTAGAAATTATACGTTCTGATATATGTGTAAGTCTATAGAATCAGAGACATGAAACAGAAATAGGTATGCAATGACAATCTTAGATTTCACTAATTTTGTGATGATATATTTTATGGAATCATATACTGAAGCAGTACAGAGATTGTTTAATTATGTTGCAGCAGCAAGAGCAAAGTGGAATAACACACAGATTTAGATGCTATAATGGAGGGAGATGTGTTTATCAGTCTAGAATACAAAAATTGATGCAGACAGAAAGTAATTATACTGGATTATATGACACTGTGAACACCTCAGTTGAATGAAAAGGTTTAATCGAACATTATTGAATAACACATGAGCAGTTCTGTGTGATTAGAATGGAAAAGAAATTGTGGATGGAAGCTGTATATTTTGCCACTTATCTATAGAATAAAAATTCTGCAACAGAAGTGAATACAACTACACATAGAAAGTGAGTAGGAGAAAGATTTCATAAATTAAACATTTTTGGAAAAACTAATATTCTTTGAAATCTGAGAGTAATAGAGCAATTTTGTTTGCAGATTTGTTTCAAGGAAAGTAAACTTTGCAAGAATTACCAAATGAATATTACTGATTAAGATTTGTATTGACAATATAATTGAATAAATGATACAGCATAATCTTTGTACTATTGAAGAATATGGTTCAGTTTAACACTAGAATTACTAAAAAGGTCAAAAGCATAAAATAAATAAGTATGTATACGTATGCATAATTAACATCTGAATGAAATGTAAATTAACTATTGTCAGAAGCAAATATATATTTACAATAATTTATGCATTTATAAATTTTTCCTTAATTAATTAATTATTAACAATTATTGCACAGAAGACGTGAACTCATACTGAAGATGCAATTGGTTTTCCATTAATTACTAACTTCTATGCAATTAATTCATGAATTACATGCACACATTATAGAAACAATATAAAAGTGCCATTTACTTCTTCGTAACAATAGTTTCTAATATATAAGTGTTTGAAATAACATTTTAAAGTTACAAAAAGCAAAATTTTTAACAAATTTTACGAATTTACATAACATATATATACACATTATACATCTCGGAATGCTTTTACGCGTTATGAATCGTGCATTCGCAGAATTTTTGAAAAATATGTTCAATCAAAATTATCATACTGCTCGTGTATCAAATTTTGTAACTAAACATATAAATATTATATATTACTATACAATATATTTTCATAATTAATTTAATAATTAATTTTATTAACTTATAAGTTTTCTATCGTGAAAAATAAGTATTTCTTAATTTATTATTTTCATAACGGAAACATATTTGAATTTGCATCATTGTTATTAATAAATATAAGACATCGTCTGATATTCTACATCGGTACTTTAGAACATGGCTATCTCAGACACGAAGCATCTTCCCGCGAAAACGAGCATAGCTTGTCCAATCGCAGCCCACTTCTAGTCGACGCGAATCCATCATGCCGGTAATACATGGGCAAATGTTTACGCGCGTTAAAGTAAAATTTTCAGTGTCGAAACAATACGTTTCGTAAAGTAGCGAAATCACTGATTAGTGTTTTAATTATTGCAAGTGACGAAATAAATATTCAACAACGATAACGCGCAGTATCACTTATTATTTCGGAACATTGAACAGCTTTTGTACAAAAGTGAAGTTACATAGTGAAAATCGTCTACTAGCACATGTGCGACATGAATTCGTGTAAGTGCGAATAATGTAATAGAACAGAATAGTCACGTGTCATCGATTGTAGATT